ACACACACACACACAAACAAACAAACGATTTTGCAAAATTCACAAATAAAACTCCACAGAATTTATTACATAAAGTCAAGAGAGAAAGGCTGTATGGGCAAGTGATACTTGCGTCCTCTTGAACCTTTTAAAAAATTTTTTGCAATTAATGATTAATAAATTCTGCAGAGTTTTGTTTGTGAACTTTGCAAAATCGTTTGTGTGCCGCGCTTTCTGCGGATCGTCATATGGTTCTTCGCCATCTTAAGATCGCACTGATCGGCAAATGGCGCTTTACATACATGGCACTACAATGTACATGGTCATGATTTGTATTGTTTGAAAAGTCGATTTTGAATTAGAAGTCTAGATAGGCTTACTTGCACAGAGTACTGAGGTTGACTTGATTGATGATGATGGCGATGCTCCGTTAGTTAATAGCTCTAGTACTTAAGTGTAAATAGAAGGCCCACTGCTAAGAATAACTTCTAAAACTCATCCTGGTTACTTGTCACAAGATTCTACGTCCACTCCCAATTTCCCTTCCAACCTTTGATTATAGTTACAGAGTACAGTTGTAAGTCCTTCTTTAAAACAGGATAACATTTTGAACAGTTTTGCGACATATCTATAATCTATTTTTCCGATGTTGAGCAAAACGAAGATTTCTGTTCTTCACCAATTGAACTGAACTAGTCTAATGGAGCAACATTGTTGTTAGAGGAAACATGATGTAAGGTCAATTTATAGGTGCTTTTTCTGTAGTTCCCACCCCCCTTATTTGAGCCTAGATCTACATCGAGATCTATACGTTTGATCCGCGGCGAACTAAGATATCAAACCTAACAACTGCAAAACATCAAATTATGGTAAAATTCAGGGGGGCATAATAAAAGAAAAGTGTGTGCGGGGCACAGGGAAAAATAATTTGCTTCGAGGAGTGGTCAGGCGTGTCTCAAACCAGCTCCTCATGGAGACAATTAGCAGGAAAACCCTGGGGTGGACGCTGTAAAGGAGAGATGAGCAGCTATGGACATGTGCCGCCTGCTATGATTCTAGCTCTGGATCCAAGTAGTTCCAAGTAATTCCAAGCTACTGAGCAGGATGTGGGACTGGCTGCCGGCAGGATTATTTGTTGTTTACACACTGACTTAACGTTGGCACGGCTCTCACTCTCTGCCTGCACACAGTAAATTATGGTTCAATGAACAGAGAGCATGTACAAATGTAACGAGACACAAGCACGAGACATTAAATGCTCTTGCACAACGGTAGAAGGGTTGTCAATTATTCAGACCAAATGGGCGAGGGCGTTAAATCGTGTTAACTAGTTTACTAGTTTAGTCATTGTATTAAATATAAAAGCAGACCTAAGGTCTTTCCTTCACTTTCTTTTTTTTTCTTTTATTCTTCCTGCCTCTTCTGTCCCCTTCTTCTTGAACATTTGGAGTTTGGATCCAAAAAAAGAGCCAGAGCGCCAAATGAAATTTTCCTGGCCAGACGCGATCCAAAAAGCCGAATTTCTGGGATTTGGCTCCAATCTGACAACCCTGCTGACAGTGACTAGATCTAGATGTATGTCTATTCGGACATCAACACGATCCTGGGGAGCATCAGCCCCGGTATCCTCGGCCCTGATCCCTCTTGGGTCATTTCCGGTACAGTCCATGCCGGCTTTAAGCACGGTCATCGGGAGAAAGCTTAAGCATGCTTAATGCCGAAGCGTGCTTGAGTGCGAAGTAGACATAATGCAGAGATTTTCATGTTGAAAATTTCCCGTGCTATTTCCCTTTATTTGTAATTAGGCCTATAGCGGTCCCGCAAAAGTGTGCACTGTTTTTTACACCCGCCATGGTAGTTTTTGTTTGCTTGTTTGTTTTTGTTTTGTGGTCGAATGGGAAATGAAAGCTTGATTTAGACGGCCAGTCACGATACAGCACACTAGGCCTACACACTACACACTGCCTGTGCGTACCGCTGCCCGCTGTGCCATATTCATACCACCGCCTTCATCCCACCTCGCGCGTGATACACAATCAGGATTAATGAATAGCGAGGGTCAAAGGTGAAATCGCAGCCAGCCTCCCTTTCTCTTCTCTCCGACTCTCTTTGTATTTTTTTTTTGTCGTGTGTAGCTTTGCCCTGGGCTAGATCCTATGTCCACGCGCATGGCTGTGTGCATCTCACTGCCTTCCTCTCCGCCCGTGTGAGTGTGCGTCTCTATCACTTGCGTTCTTTGTGTTTCTCTTAACACACTCATTGCTGCGGTGTAGACTGTGTTCGAACTTCGATGGGTCATCATGAAAGTATTGACTGTCTTGTAAATGAAGTGTGCCTGAAGCCAAAGTTACCTTGCTTAAAGGCGTGTAATTTATATAGCAAAAATTCGGTAAGAACCATTTAGCGTGCTTGAGTCCGAAACGTGCTTAAAGCAGGTGTGCTTAAAGCCGGCACGGACTGTAAAACAAGGGAGGGGTGAGAATAGCGAGACATAGGTTATTCTAACCCAGGATGAGAATAAGCACTTCCTTTAAAAAAGATGCAGCTTTGGGTCCGACCTAAAAATGGTTAATGAAATATGTAATAATCATTTTAAAAACTTCGGTCAAGATTGTAACAAAATTAACAGATTAGGAAGTGATTTTTGTAAAACTGTATATACAGTCGAACCTGCGCTGACGGCCGCCTCTATAAGACGGCCACCTGTACAAACGGCCACTTTCCATTTCCCCCTTGCATTTTTTCTATTTAATTTAACTGTGTAAAATGGGCGCCTGTCCAACGCAGCCGCCCTATTTTAACACACAACTTCTATCTCACCAAACAATAACCTCTGTCTTTGATGGCCACCTTAGTGACTCCATTACGTTTTATCATAGATCATGCATTGGCCCCTGGCGTTGTGGGCGAGCTGTCATAATCCAATCACCTGTCGTTGTTGTTAGGTAGTCCCTCCAACCGATCATGTTGTGTAGGCCCCTCCCACTATTGACCCATAAGTAGCAAATTTTCAGCTTCTGGTGAGGTAAGTGTGTGATCCCTCATAACCCATAAGCCCGCCTAGATCTCATGTACACAAATCCTAAGTGAGATGAGTGGTCACTGTTTACCCAGTCTGTATCAAAGTAAAAATGGACGTCTACATGAACTTGCGACACAAGCCTCGCTCGTTCTCTGATTGGTGGTGACCCATGTGTTTGTTTTTCCATGGCACTCGGTCCTCCTTGTCTGACACATTTCATTTTATTGTCACCCTTGCACAAATGACAAAAGCAGCAAAAATAGAAGAAAAAAAAGAAGAAAAAACCCAAGAAAACAACAACCACCACAACAACATTAACAATGCAGCTGCCTTCGGTTGGGATCTCAGAAAGGAATGGTTTGTTTTCTTCATCTTAATCAGGCCTGCCTAAGACAGCCACCTGTCTTATACTGCCACTTTTCTCCTTGACAATGGGTAGCCGTCTTACTCAGGTTCGACTGTATATGTGAGGCAGCGTGGTGGAATCAGGCTCTCGTCAAAATAATCAAAGTGAAAAAATTTGCATTTTTCCACAGGTTTGTGAACTTTTATCAGATTTTTGTTTTTTTGGCTCAACACCTTTCATGCAAATTAAAGAACTCATTTCTGTGTGGATTTTTCTGAAAAGTGTTGATTAAAGGCATAAAAAATGTAAGTCTTCAGTTACCACGGACTCCTAAGCTAAGGAAATAACTAATCTTTGGTGGCCATTTTCTCACGAATTATACCTCTGAAAACTGGTGACCCCCCACCTCCTTCATTCGTAAATATCTCGACATGTATTCAAGATAAATGGATATTTGTTTCATCCACATAAAGACAAGTGAACAAGCTTTATGAAGATACCAGTAACTCTACATGCCCCAAAACTGACGAGCGCCTGATTCCACCCCGCTGCCTCACATATATATATATCAGCAAGTCAAATACCCAAATTTTGACTTCCCGATAGTCAGCATTTTTGTTTGAATAGCTGCTGCTTCTTAATTTTGTCCCGCTTTAAAATATTTTATAGGCGTAGATGTTATGTTAACTCTCTCTCTATATATATGCTTTAAATTCAATCTATTTAAAGTTTTAAAGTTAACATTATTATACAAGGCTTACAATTTGAATTTAATAGGGAATGGAAAAAACTGCCAACAAACTTTCATCAGCCATAAGTGAAGTCATGTGACTTAAAGAAAGAACTTTACTGGCCCACAGGCAATATGTTGGTGCTTGTTGTTTAACCTTTTCCATACGCCTGGGGTAATTTTGTACCCCGGGGGTTGTATTCTTCACATTTTAGAATACTTCTAGTACGGTCTCTTTGAAACTTTTAGTATTTCTCAAAAAATAATTTTGACAGACTGCTATGCAAAGGGTACGGATCGGATAAACGAGTAAATTTCTTCTTTGGAAAGTGTGGGCACAGAGTTCCTCACGTCATATGGATAGGATAGTAAAACACGACGTACGGATAGGGTTAAAAAGCGTCACTTACTGCAGTGAATATAAAGAGAAACAAATGTGTTTTGTGGAAAAATATGTTGAGTCTGTGGAAGGGGCCTCACCTTTCTAGACAAGATGATTTTACTCTTGGTCAAACTTAGAAATTGACATTTGTCTTTTTTGGTTGTTAAACTGTTTATTTACAAACACATTTAATTAAATCACAGGGGGAAGTCTGTAAAAACCGATCTGTTGAGTGTGGTGGATGGTTTCTCAGTGGGCTGGTTACTGGGTGTTGTTGTCTGCCTTTATTTTCACTTACTTTATCTCTGTGCTAACATTGTATGTGTGTACATGATTTTTAAAAAATTAATAAATTAGTCAGCTTTGTTTATAGAATTGTTTTCTACATTTAAAGCAGTGTAACATCTTTTTACATATATTGTTTGTCATAATGTTATATATTTTTTTTAAAGATGTTTATTCATCTAGATATGACAATGGATGAGATCAGAATCTAACCCATCAACAAATGTTGACATACCACGTTGTTACTTCGCAACAGGTCTATGGTCGAGGAACAGGAGCTGACTGCAGGCGCCACGTCCAGAAACTGAACACTGTGAGAGGTCATGTAGACCAAGAACTCTGTGACCTCCGTTTGGAACGAGCGAATAATGCTACAGTAGACTCAGCAGAGTTTCATGGCACTTCAGGCGAATATGAATGGCCAAAATCTGGAAAGGTAAAATTAGGCTTTGCGTGTTGCAAGATCGTTGTTTGAACTGCTCACTGAACAGCGCCTACATGTCGTTGCCCTGCTAGTTGACAAGAGAGAAGCAAACCCTATAATTTGTCTATTACTATTAGTTGTGACAAAAGAGCCATACTTAAAGTTAGTGTTCAGATTTCATATGATCATGATGCATTCTGTGGCAATATCCAATTTTCAAACTCTGGTGTTTTAGAAACTTAATGACGTGCAGCTTCAACTTTCCCACAAGAAATGTGTTGTGTGTTGAGTAACAACAGTTTACTCGTGGAATATTGACCAAGATATGACGTTTTTTACAACTGCATTAACTTAAGTTATATCAACCAAAATCCTCTTTGAAAGTGCCAGGATGTTCACTGTGGCCTCCCTTTAATTTGGCTTCAAAACCTGATTTTAGTCAAAAAATGAGTTGCTACAGTTTTCCAGCTGTGTGATGATGTTTACAGTATAACATGGATAGGTCGAACACAGAAGACTTGAAATCATGCATCCTTCAAAATGTGCCTGTGGTCCCATTTTTTGTGTTGTCCTTATCTTTGTAAGATATCCCTCGAACTACCGAGGCCAGTCTTGATTTATTCGAGCTATCTGTGTTATAAGTTATACTATACTGTATATTGTTTGTTTCTTGGACTTGGAACTAGTAACTAGTGATAATCAAATATATTCAGTCAACTCTGCTCTAATGATCACCTGTCCAGGACAACCGCCTGTGCTGGTGACCACTTCCCCCCTTGTGTTTTTTCAATTTCATACAATAGTTATGTCCAAGAGGACACCGTCCAAGAGAACCAGCTGTTTAAGATGACCACTTTTCTCCTACAAAATGGAAGGTTATCTTGGACAAGTTTTACTTGTATATATATATTTATCTGTCTAATGTCTCTCCAATCCATATTTTTCACTTCTGTAGGTTTGCGTACTGTGTATTTGCTCTCGCCTGTAGAAAACGTAATTAAAGCATGCTTCTTCCGACTTACCCGTCCCCCTTTTGTGTTGCAGTCTTTTTCCCTGTCATAACGTCCTCTTGTCCTCTTTGATTTTGATTGATTCATTTCATCATTCTCCAAATGTGTTACTTGATAGTCTGGTCCTTTTGGTGAATAGAAGGAAATTCTGCTTCTTCTTCTCGATCGCATCGCACTTGAAGTTGGCTATCTATCATATATATTGGGCTGTCCTACTCAGTTGATCAGTCGGCCCGTACAGCGTTTCTTGTAGTGCCAATGGGATTGGCCGCGTTTTCTGTCTCAAGGCTCTGTGTCTTGCAGTGCTGAAAGATGTGTTCCACAGTTTGGTCCGCCTCTCCGCACTGGCATTTTGGAAAACTCCAAATCTCTATCGAACATCGTGTTCACTTCTTTTGATCCCTTGATAGTCGAAGCAGTCTTTGTTCTGTTGAAACTAGAGAGGTGAGCAGAGTAAGCCTGATTCCCTGTTAGACCCCTTGGCGCTCATATGTCCTTATGCAGTTGCGAGCGCTGTAAGACCTTTACTAAAAGTAAAACTCTTGCAGTCTTATTTAGTTTTTTTTTCAGGCCACCTTATTATCTTTTGGATTTGTTTCTTAATTCAGAACGAACAGATCAGTAAATGGTCGCAGTTTGTGGAATCTGGCAAAGAGGAAGACCTAGAGACAGAGGACCAGGGGATTGAGGAGTACAGCGGCTCCACTGGTTTAGTGACCACTGACTGGACGGAACTTCAAGGTCACAGAAAACAACAGCTCGGCTTAAAGCGGAAAAGAAGGTGAGGATACTTTTTAATAAATTCCGTTTAACCATTATTCAGAACTCCACCTTTGAATTGTTATGCAATTTGTTGACCAACTGAACTGCATCTGTCCTGAACTATACTATAAGTTGTAGGTTCTTCTTTTTTTACTTCCTATTTTGTTTTTGTGTATGTTTACAATGGCCTTGGGATCCGGACACTTCATCTTTTTTCATATTTTTATGATAATGATATTGAAGGAAAACCTTTCTCTTTCCCCGAGTGCCATGTTAAAATTTTTGTCTTAAAGTTTAACAGAATTTTGCTGATATTAGGGTTGGAAGTATGTGAAGTGTGAATCTGGGAAAAACATGTTTCAAATTCAAGGGGGACAATTACTAAATGGATTACATAGTGTCTTCATAGAAGTTTTCATGAGAAGTCACATGAGAAATTATGCTCCAGACTGAACCAGGAAGTACAGAAATAAGCTGTCAAACCGTACAGAATGTGGTGAGCAGCTTTTTTGGTACGGTAAAAAAAAAAACTGCCACTACTGGCAAGCATTTTGTAATTTATTTTTTTTTAAATGGGGAGACATATTTCATAGGTCATGAAATGAACATTGAAGTGTATCTGAGAAAGTAGTTTCAAAAACATTCTAAACCAATTTTGGAATGACCACTATAATTAACATTATTATTTTCTGGAAGTTAAATGGATGAAAGAAAGGAAAATGGTTGTATAGATTTACCATCGATTTAAGAATATGATGGTCTGAGCTCATTATCTCTGTAATGTTCATCCATCTTCTGCCTGGTTTTCCCAGGCTACAGCACACAGTCTGTATGACTCATTTACATTGTTCTGTCCCCATTGTTTTATGCAAGAAAAAATCTGAAATTATGCAAACCGAGCCCAAAAATGTGAAATTACTCGATTCTTCTAATTTTAACAAAGAATGATAAAGGAAAATAATCAGAAATTATGCAAAAAATGATCAAATATTGCTAAATTATGTGGGGTGCCTAAAACCATGGGGACAGATTGTTTGATGTGTTTCTGTTTAGTAACGTTTATGTGCTGGATGTACAAATGTCCTTAGAATGATTAATTTTCTGCCCCTAAGGTGGAGGTTTGGACATGCACCTTTAAAAAAAAATTATTACAATGTAGGTAGTTCCCTTTCCGGCGAATAGAGCATCAATGCTTCTGAGTAAGAACTGTTTTGGCTAGAATCTGATCCTCTCTCAATAACACCGTACTGTTTAGAAATTTAGTTATCATTTAACCCTTTGCAGTCACCCAGCCAGGAGAGCGACTGCAGCAGACTTCTCAGGCCTCCTGGCGCAGTTCTGCGCCAGGTGATCAGAACGGACAATTCTCACAGGCGCATTTTTGTGACCGCAAAGTGTAAAGTGCTTGAAAGTGTACTTGGGATGTCTCTGTAAATCAGGCTTTGTTATAAAAAGAAACTAAAAAAATACTAATGTGTAAACACTACTGTGAATTCTACATTGTAAAATTTCTGTTTCATCATAAAAGTTGTATTGGCATCTAGATCTATATAACGAAATGGCAAGGTAGGTGAAGCTGAAGCACACGTAGGTGTTGACCACTGTATCATGAATGCTTTTTTGGGGGGGTTTTTTTAGTAGCCCTTTCCTACCATGTCTCCAAAAATTTTTATCCCCCCCCCCCCCCCAGGTGCTACTGACTAAAGTGTCTTTAGGCCATTCTCAAAGGGGGGGACTTTAACTTGTCCTTATGCACAGTAGATCTGTCAATTGTAACTGGGCTGATTCAACAATGTCATGCTCATAACTGTGCCTGAACTGCAACAGGGAACTGCTGCTTTTTCTTTCTTAATCCTTACTATCGTCATTTTTCTTCTACTTCTTTTGTATGTTTGTCACAGTCTTGTGACGCGCTATTTCCGGGATGCCTTGATAGTCGGAGCAGACTTTGTTCTGTTGAAGTTGAAGCTAGAGAGGTGAGCAGAGAAATCCTGATTCCCTGTAAAGACTTCTCTGTTGACAACCACCCCTTGGCGCTCATATGGTCTTATGCTGTTGCGAGCGCTGGAAAACCTCAACTAAAACAAAAAAATATGTCATTGATCTCTTCGTTTCTGTTTTCTCTTCCCAGTGGGCCTCCACATGTCACAGCCAAGCAGCAGAAAAGCCAGCACTCTTTTGAAACAACTCCAACGTCTCGAGACTTTTGGCTCCCTCAGTCTTTTTCTCAAGTCACGGCAAAAGCGTCACATGGAGGGTTGATGTCTAATCGCCGAGTGTGCTCGTCAGTTGGTCTTCATACTGCTGTGAAAAGTGTGGGGAGTGTATTTAACAGTTCTTTAGAACTTGGGGCGGACTGTGACGACAGTAGAGTGAGTCACTCGGCAACTGCTGTTCCAGATGTGATAGAACAGTCCAACGTTTCTATTCGTGTACGTTCTTTATGGGCTTTAGAAAATGGTGGATCCTCCCAGGGACTTGTAAAGCCGGTGCGTAACAACACCGTTAGCATCAACAAAAATAATCTTTTAGAATCAGAGCCTCAGAAAAATATTTCTACTTTTCACCCTAAAAATGACTCTACCCCATCAAAATCTTCTGACAGTTTTGCCAATTCTGCTAGCAGAGCCAGAGATCCTACCTCACTAAATACTTCAAGACAGTTTTCCACTGGCAATGTAAAAAATGGTATCCCACTCAATGCTTTAAATCCTATTTCAAAGAGTGGGAAAACAGAAAACATTAAGAGTGTCACAGGAGGTAACTCAAAGCGCAAAGTACAGCAAGTAGCAGCGTCATCTAAATGGGGAGCATTTCTGGATGAGGACAACAGTGACGGTGACGACTCCGATTGCAACTCTGACCTTGGGGAGGTCGACGGCGAGAACGGTGCTCTCTATATAAACGTCAAAGACCCGAATCTTCTGTACAAAAAGAGTGGATCCCACCTGCTTTCTCCTGCCGTGGATGCTACCAATCACCTCCAAGAAGACAGCAATGACCCATCTTTGATTGAGACTCCAACTCTAGCACAGGTCTCTTTGCCGTGCAGCAAACAGCCTCCCTGGCTTTTGAAGGCTGTCACCGTCTCTGAGTCTGACCCGTCTACAGAGGACACTGGGTCTTTTCAGCTTGGGTTTAGCTTAGATGATGATTTGTAGCTGTTCTGTGAGAGAATGTGTACATGGTTCATTCACCTTAGGCTGTTATTATAAATCTCACATTGACTTTAAACAGTAACAGATTTTTTTGGGGTATTTTTTTTAATGTAGGCGTTTTTATGCCCCTATCAACACAGTACACAGTTAAGATAATTATAAGGTAGAGGAATTCTGACCCTGCCTGCCAGAGCCAACCTGGGCTGAGAGGGATACAGTCCTACCAGAAAAAAATGAGATATATGATGCAAGTTCAAATTCCTCCACACTTGAGAATCAAACTTGGTGTGTGACGAGTGAATTAATTGCCTGACTGCTACACCACAGATGCCCGTGTACTATGGTGAGATTGGAATAGAATTAACCCTATCTGTACGCTTGGGGTCATTTTGTACCTTGGGGTCATTTTGTACCTTGGGGTCATTTTGTACCTTGGGGTCATTTTGTACCTTGGGGTCATTTTGTACCTTGGGGTCATTTTGTACCTTGGGGGTTTATTCTTTACATTTTAAAATACTTTTAGTGCGAAGATCTCTTTGAAACTTTCAGTATTTCTCAAAAAAATCATTTTGACAGACTGCTATACAAAGCGTATTGATCGAATTACCGAGTAAATTTCCTCTTTGGAAAGTGGGGGCACAGAGTTACTCACGTCGTATGGATACGATAGTAAAACACAATGTAGGGATAAGGGTAATATGAGATGTTATTCTGCTCTTTGTGCCTTTATCATTAAAAAGCCCTATGTCACAGTAATACTATTATTCATAGAATGTTAGTACCTCATATATATAATATATGATTCATTTTCAGGGTTCCTTAAATGTGAGGCAGCGTGATGGAATCAGGCTCTCGTCAATTTTTGGGCATGTAGAGTTATTGGTATCTTCTTAAAGCTTGTTCACTTGTCTTTATTTAGATGAAACAAATATCCATTTATCTTGGATACAAGTCAAGATATTTGCGAATGAAGGGGGTGGGGGTCACCTATTCTCAGAGGTAAAGTTATGAGAAAATGGCCACCAAAGATTAGTTATTTCCTTAGCTTAAGAGTCCGTGGTAACTGAAAATTTACCTTTTTTTGTGCCTTTAATCAGTTTTTCAGAAAAATCCATACAGAAATGAGTTCTTTGATGGGTGTGAAAGGTGTTGAGCCAAAAAACAAAAATTTGATAAAAATTCACAAACCTGTGGAAAAATTCAAGTTTCTTGACTGATTATTTTGACGAGAGCCTGATTCCACCACGCTGCATCACAAATGATTTATATCGTCAAGAGGGTTGAATAACCATGTTTGCTACATTTTTACATCTATTGTATATAATCTTGTTGTATAACCCATTGTTATTATTAGTGTTATTGCCTCTTCTATGTTATGATACAAATATTGGGAAGCCATGTACGTAATACAGTCGACTACGGATTAGTTGATGTCATGGGAGGGGGGGGGGGTTGTAAAAAAAAAGATGAACTCATCCAAAGCTCAATTATGTGATTCCATGTGCTATTAAATTAAAATCTAAATGTGAAATTGGGGATAAAATTGCCTTGGACTTGGATCAGACTCCGCAAGCTGTGAAAATTTTTCTGAGCCAAATGTTTTGCATTTGTTCCACATTGTGTAGTAATATCCCAGTCAACTGTAAGTAATCTGCACTTTGGTTAATGTAGTCTTATCAATATCATTGCAACTCGTGCGCCAATTCTTGTTTTTCACTGCAATTTTTTTTGCTCAATTTGACCATATTATTATTGTTGTTGGTAACCTAAGATGACATTAAAGTAAAAACGTGCCCTACTCTCATCTCTTTCATCTTTTGTATATAGGTACTGTTTGTTATCTCTTTTAACACCTCTAATCTTCGGCACTTATTTTAAAAAAATAAAAATATATATGATCTCATTGTGTTGCAAGTGCCGTAAAACTCTTACTAAAAACGAACTGAGAGTTGCTTGTATGTGTGTGTCTAGTGTCTTCTATAGATATATGTGTGTGTCTTAGTGTCATCTATGTGTGTGTCTTTGTGTTTTCTATGTGTGTTTTTGTGTCATATTTTATGTGTGTGTGTCTAGTGTCATCTATATATAATCTATGTGTGTGTCTAGTCTAGTGTCATCTAGGCCTTCCTGGATGAGAATGTCGACTGACATCAATCATTGCATGAGTTTAACCAAATTAACGTCCCTTTCAACACTTAGATTATTTGAGAGGTAGGCGGGGGTTGGAGGGCGCCACTGGTAGATCTTACGTCTTTACGCGTACTTTCCCTCTGTTGTTTCTGTCTGACTTACCTGTTCCCATCACTAAATGAAGTAAATGACCATTATTGTGTCAATGTGCTTCTCTTTACTCAAACATACAAATAAGAGGCAGGAGCTATGAATTTTACGTCCATTTCTGATAGGACTGGATTCAGCGGGTGGAGAACCTTAATAACAACTCCCCAAAACAAGCAGACTTCAGAACTCCCCACTGGGGATTTTGAATCAGGGCCATCCGCTCCATAGTCCTTCAGGATATAGTCAACAACAAATGTGTTGATCTCGTCGTGGGAGTGAAAAATAGATCAACTCATTCAAAGTTCAACTCTGTCCCCGTGGTTTTATGCAAAAAAAATTCTGAAATTATGCAAACTGAGCCCAAAAATGTGAAATTATGCGATTCTGTTAATTTTAACAAAGGATGATAAAGGAAAATAATCAGAAGTTATGCAAAAAATGATCAAATTTTGCTAAATTATGCGGGGTGCATAAAACCACAGGGACAGTTTCAACTCAACCATTGGGAATTGTAAAGAAGAAGAGGTGCTGGGACCGGAGAGAAAGATAAACTTGGCAACCGAAGATCAACTCAAGCAAAGCCGACTGTACCAACTGAACTAAAGGAGTGCCCATTATATCATGTAGATTGTATATCATGTAGATTGCGAAGTTGGACTTAACCCCAATCAGGTTTATTTCAATTAAAATTACCATCCTGGCTGAAAGCAAAAATATTTGAATTAGCATTAGCAGCTTTTTTGTTTGAGTTTTTGTATTTTTTGTTTACAATGGAAGAAAAAACAAAAACAAACCAAAAAACATGATTGAGACCCCAGTCACATTCAGTCTGATAAAATGTCATGTCAAGAGGACAAAGCCATTTCACCTGTCTTCTCTCTTCTTTGAAAAAGGTGGCAAAAGTAGGCACTGACTATAAAAAGGTTGAAAAGCACTGGCTTACACAGGTACAGTTTGAGTTACCATATATATGTTTACAGCCGATTAACTATTTCAGCGGGGGGTTGGCGGGTGCTTGGGTGTGGTTTGCTCCTTCTTTCCTATCAAACATCTATCGTTCTCATCTCTCCTCATTCCATTTGCCTGTTTGTTACTCTCTTGTAGCTCAAAACTTCTAATCTTCGGCACTTATATTATATATGACCTTATTATTTTGCAAGTGCCACAAAAACTAATAAGGACACACTGCAATATAGACAGTGTGCTGGACTACAGTGCAGAAGGCCCTTGTTTAAATCCCAAAACGAGCCTTTTTGACCTCAGGTTGTGTGGTGTATTTTTTAGGCTATGTCATGTCTACCCATCTGGAAATGAACGGGATTATTAGAATTACCTGCTTGGCCTGTTCATTTTAACTGACATAGTTTTATTGCGTTTTTAGAGGTGTTGACCAGATGTCATTAATGTCTACTACTATAGTGTAGTGATTAGGCTCTTTGCTGTTACATGCAGAAAACATAAGCTTGATTCCTGAGCGGAAAGTTGTTTTAAAAAAATCAAGTACAACGTTTCTCCGTCTATCTGCTGGGATGTTGTATCCCACGCAGCCCGGGTTCGTGTTAGGACAGACAAGTATTGAGGCAATACACCTCCGATTTGTGTCAATACATCTCTGAGACAGACAAGTGTGCTGTATATAACCCTCCATTCGTCTCCTTTAAAACATTTCTTCAATTTTAAGATATCGTTTAATCCAAAATATGGATGTCTTGAATACATGTCAATCCATGATTGATGTTTTGAATTCAATCAGTGCCCAACTGCATGGCTTTTATATTAAGAGTAAGTAAGACAAGAGCATTCAGTAAGGAACTGCATGTATTCTCATACACAAAAGTATTTTTATTTCTGTGTAAGTACAAAGCAATCTGTTCCATCATCTTAATAAATGGTCACTTTTAAGGACAAGCGGGCTAACCCGGATTTCGGGGGTTTCCAGAAATCTTGACCTACGGTACACCAAAAGTGGGCATTTCCCTACCTATGGGAGAAGTTTGGTTTCACTGGTGTGTATTTTTGTTTGGTTATAGTAGAGAAAACTCTCCGTATCTTTTAAAGAAAATGAACAAGGAGTAAAAACTTGAAAAACTTCACCTTCGATTTTCTCAAAACAGCATTTTTAGGACAGCCCCCTTGTGCTTAAAAGTGGCCAAATGACAAAAGCGGGTGGAAAAATATACAAAAATAGAAAACATGTCATAATAATATTAATACTAAAGGTAATGAATGATCTGATTGTATTTATAAGATATATATATATATATATATATATATATATATATATATATATATATGGCACTTGTCCCATACAAGTACAAATATTATACGCTCTGAGTGCTTTACATGGATGACATAATTTCTGAGAACAAACTTCACTCAACAGGACCACACAAGAAAAAAAAAAGTTTCATATGAAAAATTTTCTCAACCATACTTCGATTACATTTACACGATAGGACTGTGCTGAAAACAAGAAACATCAGCATAAGCTCACACCCCTCAACTAAGATTTAACCCTATCTGTACGTCGTGATTTACTATCGTATCCATACGATGTGGGGAACCCTGTGCCACCACTTTCCAAAGAGGAAATTTACTCATTAATCCGATCCCTACGCTTTGCGTAGCAGTCTGTAAAAATGATTTTTTGAGAAATACTGAAAGTTTCAAAGAGATCTTTGTACTAGAAGTATTCTAAAAGTGAAGAATACAACCCCGGGGGTACAAGATGACCCCAGGGCATATGGATAGGGTTAAACAAACACAAGTCATAGGCAATCAATCTCAATGTATTCAGATCTGTTGTTTCTCTGAGGTCCTTGGGCAAGGAGTTCCAAATTTGAGGGCCAAAAATTGAAAAACTTGTTGCACCAAAAATCTTAATTTCATTCTAAGTAAGGTGAAAAAAAGTGTCCAATTTGTTCCATACCATCAGCTAAGGTCATTCATTGGCTAAACGAAATATAGAGCCCTTACTTAGTTCTGTGTGTCCCATCGATATTCCAATCACCAAATATCTGTTATATACTGTAATCAACATGTTCGGATAAAAAAAATAGTGAGTGCGTGGTGGCTGAAGGGCATCATTGACAGATTCTACTCCTTATCTATCTATCTGCTGGTCCCCCCCCCCCCCACTTTGCTTTTTCCCCCTTTGCAGCAAGACTTACCCAGTTGGTGTTTAAACACACAAAAAATAGAAACATGTACAAACGTAGGACTCTGCTAGTCTCATAAAATGCCATTTATGATCATAAACAATATAATATACTTCGTCGATGTCGCAAGCAATCCACATAGATCCATGTCCATTTTACACCAGAGACAAAAAAAATTGCTCTTTGTTATGTTGTTAATGAAAAGCCAGAAAATTGTAAGCCATGACCATAGCTTTAGACTGTAGTTTAATGATGTTGAAAGGTGCACCTTTGATAGAGTTTTGGATGGGGGTAAAAATCGAAGTGGATTATTTGCGACAGGGATGATTTATATTTAAACATAATAGTATTTACACAAAGTAATAATCTAGCCAAACTAACAAAATCACAGAAGTACTCGGAAACCTAGACAAACACATAGTGCTACTACTGCAAATGGACGCATACATAATACAGCGGAGACTGCTTAAACCGAAATTCCGCGGGATGTTGGATTTTCTTAGATTTGGCCTCGTTTTAGATATTTAGAGAGGTTACGGAACTCAAATAGAAGAACCCCCCCCCAAATCGAGGATTTTAATTTCTTTCGGTTGACGGCTGTTTTCAGATTAACAACAGTCGTCAGTTTAAACATATTCGACTGTACTCACAGTTTCACTCATTTATAAGGCAAATACTCAGAGAGACTTCGGGCAATCACAGGGGCATATATGCAGGAAGCAAGGAAATGGTCTCATACAATCACCATAACCACCTGCTTACATTAAAATTTAAATAATCGGCCGGCAGTAAACAATACATTTCCAAAAAAGCAAAAACAGACAGATAATAGAAATTCATTTGTACCCACAGTAGTGAGGTTACTGAACACACAGTGCTGCAAATGAGAGAGAGAGAGAGAGAGAGGGGGAGAGAGAGAGAGAGAGGGAGGGAGGGAGAGAGAGAGAGAGAGAGAGAGAGAGAGAGAGAGAGAGAAAGAGCATGTTTTACGAAGAGGGTTGTTTCAGCTCGTAAAACCTGAATTTATTAATGTCCTGTTGTGTTGTGTGTATGTAGATCTATCCGTGAGTGCACTATCTAGCCCTTGTAACATTCCACTGCCAGTGTAAACAACCAAGACAAATTTCTCCCGGTGATATGAACAAAGATTGTCATTGTGTGTGTGCCTGAGAAAGCTCCCAGTTGTCTGAAATTTAGGATACACTGATTGAAATAAGGGCATGTTCTTGTAGCAAATTCATCAATGTTATCAAGCTGATTAAAAAAACTATTTTGAGTACTTTTAAAGATATGCTATATTTTGTAACACATGGAGTAAAAACAAAGCTTGGGGAAAAATGGGCTTAAACTTACAATGTTGGCCCAATTTCCAGCACATTTTTAACCTTACTTTGGTGAAGTACAACATATTGAAGAAAAAAAATTTAGATTCCAAATAATATTATTATAAAAATCCTTTCAATATTTTATTAAGAAATGGTTAAACATATGTTATATGACGAAACTAAATTTTCTACCAAGTACAAATTTTCTGGTCTTTTCATCCCATTGCTTCAAACTAGATTTAGCTTTGCCGACAACTCAAGGGACCTTTCTCCAGGAACACACACAAATACTTACCTACCTCTATTTGTGAGGCAATCAATTGCTTCACTGATACTTCAGCTGCTGTCAAAAAGACTGCTTTATTTTTACAGTACAGCACTGCTTTTTTCATCAGTTTAGTGTCTCGTAGTATCAATCTATTAACACTATTAATGTTTATATAATTACTTTTCGTTTATATTATACATGTGACTGTGAGCCTGTTTGTGAGTGCAAGCATACTTTTGCATTATCATGATTATGAGCACAATTGTGTGTGGAAGAGAGGACGTGAGAGGGAAGAGTGTGTGCACATGTGCTTGCGTATGCGTGTGTGTGGATGTTTGTGTTTGTGTGTGTGAGTGTGTGTGTGTGTGTGTGTTTGTGTGGTAAAACACCAAACCAATGTGCCAAAATCTGGAAAATAAAGATGTTTCTTATCTTATATCTCTATTACTATTAAAGAGACTCATCTTGGGGGGGGGGGGGGGGAGGGGGAGAGTGTCATCATAGTAATAGGCATTAGTTAATACTGAGACAAGTTCTGTGGCAGAGCTATCCAGGTCATGTTTTCACCCAAGTTTGAAACACATTAACTTTCTCCCTATTCCATGAAGTGAACCACAATACTGCCATATAAAGCTCAAAATTTTCGATTTATTCAGCAGTAGAGTGGTATTTCTCATTATTTGTTTGTGGCAAGTGTTTGAGGGAGTCTATCCGATGTTTAAAGTGTTTTAATAAAAGATTATTAAAAGAAATTGTTTTGGCATCAGTGTTAGAGATCTTTTCAAAATAAAGAAGAAGGAAGGAAACCTAGAACTGAGATACAATTAAAGTTGAGTCTGTGTACCTGCTTCTCATATACTGAACATCACACATTCAAGAAGAGACAAAAACATTGCATTTGTCAAGGAAATATAATATATCATTATAATCAGAAGCCTACACAATATTTAACAAAAGAACGAAATCAAAATCAGAAGTTTTAACTAGATGAATCCTGCATAGTAACTAAATCCACCCCCTTACTTTCACAGATTGTACAATATAAAGTAAAAAAACAGCCCAAAACATCAAGGCGCAGTTTTCCGATCCCAGTTAAGGGCTTTGAGAGGGCCAATTGCTTCCTGCTCCTCTGCAGACAAAATGTATTTCTCGATCTCACCGTCAAACTCGTTGTCCATCAACTCTGTGCTGTCAAGGTCAACACCGGGTGGGACTTTTACATCCGTATAAGGAGGTATCTCAATCCTTGGCTTTTTCATACACAAAGGCACTAATACTTCCTTCTCTGAACCAGATGGTCTCTTTTGAGGAGAATCATTCAACACAGAAGGCGACTTATCATCGCTTACTGATCTGAAAGCCAGGTGCAATAAGCTATTTTGGTACTTCAAAATATCCTCTACATACTGATGAAGGTTATGTAGCTTGACACTTTCACTGTCCACCCATGGAAGTCGTTTCGCCAGTTTCAGGAAAAAGGCATTGCATTCTCTGTTCAATTCCAAAGACGCAGACGGTAAACTGAATTTTTTCCTGAATGGTTTCATATGTATGAATTTTTCACATTGAGGAGAACTGATGTAGGCGTAGTAGGTTGCTATAGTAATGAGGCCCTCTCTGCTTCTTCCCTGGGTGAGCCAGGCCTTCCTGCACAAGAACATCACGTCCCGCACTTTACTCACAACACCATTATCAAACCCCTTGCCCGCTAGACAGAGTCCGATTTGTTTTGTGAAACTTGCGGGCGACACCGGTATTCCCAAGACCTTGATCAGTCTTTTCTTAGCCACCAATAATGTTTTGAACTTCCTGACGTGCTTGGCAAAGTGCGTCAGGCTCATGGGATAATCATGTCTCCTGGCGACTACAAACAAACACGCTACAGCCAGGTGCTCCTTCAAGAAAACAGTGGCCATCAAAAATTCTTTTTGAAAATACATTTGTTCAAACATTTCGCCGGCTTCGTCCTTCAGTTCTGAGGGTAACGCAAACTTCTTCACCAAGTCTTGAATTTTGCTCTGTCCCGCCACTAATCCGGCTCTTTTCTTCGACCTCTCTGAAAACCACGGCAACGTCTGGGTTCCGTTCCCATAAGACCTGGTCGTCATGTCAAAACTGTCATGGGTCAGCTCTATGCTTTCCACCACAGAGCCACAGTCTTGGCACACCAGCTTCTCCTCCACACCAATGACATTGTAATGTAAATTAGAGCCCCCGCACGACTTACACGACAGTTTTACCACCTGTGCCGCTGTCGGGTCAGACTCTGGGGGCACAAACACCGCCTGGTTTTGTTCTTCTTCATTCCTCATGCTGGAATCTTTCTCAAAAGGGGCACACTCTGAGCATATTCGTGATTGGGCTCCGAACTCGAGATCTTCCCCACAAGATTCGCACACAACAGTCTCTAGACACAATGGGCTCTCTTGACTGTCCACCTGAGAAATGAGAAGAAGTAAAAACGTCAACAATTCAAGTACTGAGAGCTTTGTGTGATAAAAAAAAGCGCAACCCGACATTACCAAACTGTCACCTGCCTAAAGCAAGGAAAAAGGAATCAAGAAAGACAGAGATAAAACGAAGGAGAAATGGTCAACTATTTTTTTGATTTTCAAAGAAAAGTATTTTTATAAATTGAACTATTCCAGCCCAAATGCCTTAACATTTGATGTATTTCTTCAAAGACATTAATTAAAAAAACAAAAACACATGGTTTCTATAGAATTTCTCAAAAGCAATCATGCTTGAAGCAACATCAGTTTTTCCGAATGACAATCTTCATCGATGAATATAGAGGACATGTGAAAAACAAAAGTGCTTGTGAAAAAAGTTGAAAAGGTTTTCAGAATCCCTGTTATATGAATTTTGAAAATCATAGTCACTCATACACATGATGAAATTTGATTCTTATTTGCTTAAATTTTGAAAAGCAAAAAAGGATTGCTTTTACAGGCTTAGTTTACAGAGAAAAATAGAGACTAAAACAAGTCAGATAAAAGGGTAACCACAAGTCAACATCTATTTCACAGGAAGCGAAGCATGCTTTAAGTGGTGTCTGTGGCCTAGTGGTTAGGCTACAGTACCTGACTCGTAATCGTGAGGTTGCGGGTTCGGGGGTTTGAGCCCTGGGCCCGACGTTGTGTCCCTGGGAAAGGCACTTTACAAAAATTTTCCTCACTTCACCCAGGTAGGAATGGGTATCCAGCCATAGACAGCGAAAGATTTTGTCAGTTTGTTAGAGTTTTAGCACCTATAATGGCCGCTTGCACTGTATGCTTCCCAGGAAATTGAGCTTGTTTCAGAATGCTCTCAGGACTGCTGGGGTAAAAGTATTGATTGTGAAGTGCATAGAGCTTGCTGTTGAGTGGGGATTTGCACTATACAAAAGCTGTCTATTATTATTATTGTTTTCAGTACAAACAGCCAAAAGCTAAGAATCACTACTTCATCAGTGATATCCACTTTTTTTTCTGCACATGTCCTTATCTCTTTGAGCCCTAGCGACAGGTCCACTGGTGGCACATAAAACTGCCCGTATGTCTAGCCACCTGTACACTGGTGGCACATAAAACTGCCCGTATATCTAGCCACCGGTACACTGGTGGCACATAAAACTGCCCGTATGTCTAGCCACCGGTACACTGGTGTTGCATAAAACTGCCCGTATGTCTAGCCACCGGTACACCGGTGAGCAAGACCCCACCCCAAACTGGCTCGTCTGAAAAAAAAATGCGTTAGGAAAACAGTGTTTACAACACAAGACTTTACTGATTATTTTGAAAATCTTTCTGAATTAGATGCTGGTAATGACAAGGACTACCCTGAGTGGGATATGAAACAAGATTCTAACAATCACATGAAAGTAATATATTGCTCAGGAAGAGGGGCACGGTAGCCCCAGGAAGTCAGGGCTCAAAGGGTCAAGGCACAGTGTGACGCTAATAATGGCCCCGGCCTGATGAAGGGTAACAAAACCAACCTTTATTTATATTTTATTTAGTAGAGGTTTTACAGTGCTCGTAACTGTATAAAGTCATATGAGCGCCAAGGGGTGGATGTCAACAGAGAAGTCTTTACAGGGAATCAGGCTTACTCTGCTCACCTCTCTACCTTTAACAGCACAAAGCCTGTTTTGACTTTCAAAGCACCCCGGAAATAGCGGGTCACAAGAGTGTGACAAACATACAAAAGAAGTAGAGGAAAATGACGATAGCAAAGATTAGGAAAGAAAAAGCAGCAGTTCCCTGTTGTAGTTCATGCACAGTTATGAGCATGACATTGTTGAATCAGCCCATTTACAATTCTACTGCGCATAAAAATGAAGAATGTCCCCCCTTTGGGAATGGCCTAAAGACACTTCAGTCAGAAACCAACCTTTACCACAGACTACCTCCTGTGGTAGAATAACAATATGTACAAACACCAATGCTCAGATCTATTTCTTTGAGTAAAAGACTCCGCCATAAGCTGTAGGCCCTATTGAAAAGAGATGCATTATAACAGAATTTCAAAGCAATCACGCTTGAAACAAAACCTGTTTTTCAAAATGGCAATCTACCTCGATGAATGAAGGCCACTGAGCAGTCGAGATCATGTACACTTACAAGAAGTCAATTTTTGTGTACCACTTCAGCCTTCTTACCTTTCTTCTCTCTTATTTGCCACTTCCAAATATATCACTTTTTCCATTCAAGTAAAACACACACTCACAGCATCAGTAGCAAGGAAACTGCAGAGCTTCATAAATGGATGTTTAAGAAGGATAGTGGGGATCAAGTGGTGCGATCAAGCCACAAAGGCTCAACTGTGGGAAAGAACAAGCCAAAGGCCAGGTAAAGGAAGACAAACAGGTGAAGAAATGGAAATGGATTGGGCACAGACAGGCTTTGACATGAAATTCACAAGGAAAGCGTAAGAAAGGAAGACCAAAGATGACATGGAGGCGAGCGGTAAAAGCGGAAACGGAAAAGGCGAGGACATCATGGAAACAGCTAGAAAAAGATGAACAGGTCAGGCTTGAAATGTTGTTGATGGCCTATGCTCAACTGACTGGGAATTACAAGGGGCAAGAGAGAGAGAGAAAACACACACACACAAATCTCTTTGATAAAAAAAAACAACAAACAACAAACCAAAAGCTAGAGCCCTTACATTGTTTGTTTCTTTGTTCTGCCTGTCGGCAACAGACCCACACTCAATACAGATCTTCTGGGTCCCTCCACCGTCAATGCTGTCTTCAATGACCGCGGCCTCACCACAGAAACTACACACCTCCAGAGACATACTTCTGCAACAGAAATTTGATGGAAATGTTTTTATAATAATAATTATAATATGTGAGTGTGAGGCTGCGTGGTGAAATCAGGTGCTCGTCAAAATGCAAAAATTGAAGAAACAGGCATTTCTCTGAGAGTTTGGAAATTTTTATCTAATTTTTATTTTTGGGCTCAACCTCTTCATGTCCAAATAAAAACACATTTCCTTGTGAATTTTACTGGAAAACATTGATGAAAGGAACAAATTCTGTAATTTTTCTGTTTTCAAAGATTCTTTAGGTACTGGAATTACCAAGCGTTGGTGGTTATTTTCTCGCTAATATACACCACTGAAACCAGGCAAGCTCACTTCCTTAAATCACAAATATCTCGAGTTCTATTCAAGATAGAAGGATATCTATTTCATTGGAAGCAAGGCAAGTAAATCAGCTTTCAGATGATACCAATACCTCCAAATGCCCAAAAATAGACGAGTGCCTAATTCCACTGCGTCGTAACACATATAAATATGGTGCAGGCAGTACTGAGATATTTCGCGTTTTCTTTCTTCTACTGTGTCCTTTTCTTAGGGTCATGTGTCGTTGATTCAGAATACAGTATCTCAGAAATAATGCGTTTAACAATTTTTTTTAAAAATTTAGAATTATAATGATCAAGGAATCAACAGAAGATTTTTTATCCCTATCCGTACCCTCTGGGGTCATTTTGTATGCCCCAGGTTGTATTCTTGACATTTTAGAATATTTCTAGTGCAAAGATCTCTTTGAAACTTTCAGTATTTCTAAAAAAAATCATTTCGACAGAGTGCTATGCAAAGCGTACCAATCTGATTAACCAGCAAATTTCCTCTTAGGAAAGTGGGGACACAGAGTTCCCCACGTCGTACGGATACGATAGTAAAACACAACGTACGGATAGGGTTAAAAGTTGGACAGCTTGAAGCTCAATGAAGTTGGCATAGTTCCGTCACAACAAATGATAGTGTTTGTGATGTATGGTCCACATTATTTAGTCCTATTTAAATGGGACTGGTGGCAAAAAAAAAGCTGCGCATATCTGAAAGTACCAGTTGTCCTGCAAGAACGTCAATAAACACACATATATATATATATATATAAATTTTTAAAGTCATACCATCAATAGTGTTGATTTTTCCCCACAGACAGAAGTCGCTCATCATTGTCATGTGAAGGCAAAGAAAACAATGATTTTCGGTAATTTGGCGGAAACTAAGTTAGCTTGATGGAATCCTGCTGTCTACGTTAAAAAGCGAATATTCGGATAGGTCAATTAAGGTAAAATAAAAATTTATTGATAGGACGTGTTGTATGGTGTCACTCAGAAATCTGTCTTATTAACTGAATGCAGTGAATCTCCCTGCTCCCCCTTGATATATTCCTTTTTAATTAACTGTATAAAATGCAAACCTGTCCAAAGCGGAAATGGAAAGAAAAATCCGCTCCCTTCCGAAGGTTTTACCTGTGTAAGATGAAAAATGTTTTGCCCATTCAGTCCTGATTTGAAACAAAACTCGCAAGTTTGGTTCTGTCCGCCGACTCTAAAATTAACGTTATGCCACCGGGCGAGGAAGGGGAGTAAGGGTGCAGTTTGAGGGCAGATGTTACCAGATCTAGATGGTCAGGATGGTGAGGGTGTGAAATCTCATGAGTGCCAGTGAAAGTGCTAGAGTGGCGCTCCATCACGAAAACTTTCACTTGTAGCCAGAGATCAGAGGTGTGAAATTAGTTTGACCAATGCCTGCCGCCCTGATCATACAGCCAGCTGAGAAAAGAGTTCCTCGAATCGTTTTTTAAAGTTTTAGTAGAGGGTTTTACGGCGCTCGCAACTGCTATAAGGTCATATGAGCGCCAGAAGATTAGAGGTGTTACAAGAGAGTAACAAACATAAAAAAGAAGAAGGGGAGATAAGGACGATAGATGTTTGATAGGAAAGAAGAAGCAAACCACACCAGAGCACCCGCCAACCACCCACTCGAATCGTTGTTACATGGCAGTGAGGGGAGGCGTTGGTTGACTGTGCTTATTACACTGATGGGTGGGGCTAAGGGTGGAAGCAAAGGAGATCATGTTCAAACGTTTCTGTTAATAGGTCAAACAGCGGTCCTATGAAATGCAAGCACAGGTGGTAATTGGATAAATAAATGAGACTGACGCATGTCAGTATCAGAGAGGATAGCAGCTGAGAGGTGTGAAGTTTTGACCACTTGTGATTGCTTGCCGACCAGGCAAGCTACCCTTGATCCCACCAGCTATGCTTTCGACTGTATGAGTATTATATAGTCAAATTTGTCTTATAAATTGAATGGAAACCTGTGTAAGTTTAGGATGGAAACCTGTCATAATGGAATCTCTCAGCTTCTTCCTTGATAAAATCCTCTATAATTACCTCTTCATAAAACGGAAACCTGTTCAACGCGGAAATTGAAAGAGAAAGGTCTTCCCTTCGCAGGGTTTTTCTACCTGTCTAAGACAAAAAATGATAAATTATGCTTTGCCCAGTCAGTCCGTATGAGAAATAAAACTATCAAGTTTGGCTCCAGTGGCTCACTAACCGTTTACGAAATGCTGCTGGGTGAGAAAGGGGAGCAGGGGTGCAATTTTGGGGTAAGATATTGTAACCACATCCATGTGAGCCCTCAGCAGTGCAGATGGTCAAGGTGGTGGGGATATAAAATCTCACCAGTGCTTGTCAAAGACAAAGTGCTCCAGTGGCACTCCAGCATGGAAACTTTCATTAGGAACCAGAGGTTTAAAATTAGTTTGGACAATGCCTGACGCCCTGATCATACGTCCAGCCGAGATAAAAGAGTTCCTCGAATCATAGTTAGGCCTACATGCATGAGAGGAGTGGCATTGGTTGACTGTGCTTATACTGGCACTGATGGATGGGGCTAGGGGTGGAAGCAAAGGAAGGGTGTTCAGTCGTTTCTGTTTTTAATCTGGTCAAACAGTGGTCCAATGATGCAAGCACTGGTGACTGGTGGCAAGCATTCATGATTCAATGGATAAAGGGGAGGAGTTCCGCAGAGGGCCAGCACTTAAAGTGACAAGGTCCACTGAACAAACTATACAAGTTAGTGTTAGGGTTAAGGGTAAGATTGAACTTTCGAGGACCCAACACTGAACGAAGCCGGAACTACTTTTGAGCCAAGCTGTGCAATGGTCCGCTCTTATGTTATTGTTTTGCATTTTGGTGAGTTTAAAAAAAATAATTATTGTTTCCTGAAACCCTCCACTGTTGTTTGACTAGTGCGCATTAATAAATGTAAACAAAGTTCAATCCAGCCAGGTTAAGCTAAGGGTTAAGGTTAGGATTAGGTGTTGTTGGTCAGCCGGCCCTCTGCGGAACTCCTTCCAGATAAAAACTGACGCTTGCTATAGAGGCAGACTGGAAGGTGAAGCTTTGACCACTGCGGCCTCTGCATTTCCCTGTTAAGTCTTAACTTAAGATGGAAAATGTCTAGGCCTATATGACAAGACGGAATACCGGAATAATTTTTTCTTGCTTCCTTACCTTGCGATTCCCGTCTTAAGATTTCAGACAGGTTCGACTTTACATAATTAGGCCTATAATTCTAGAGTCAGTGATTTTGTAGTTTCGTTCGTTAAAGTCAAGAGTACTAGATTCTAGATTTAATTATTTATTAATACAAATAGATCTATATGGAGGGGGGTCAGGGGGGGCAAGCCCCCCTGAATTATACTGTTTGAATTATGTGTTGCAGTTAGGTTGCATCCCTGTTCTTTGTGTTGCCTATTTGGACCTTGGTCATCAAGCCTTAGATCTTTTAGTTCTGGATTTCTTCTCTGGATGTAAATAAATGGATCGTGGACTTTCACTTTCAACTTTAACTTCAACAAGAAGTTTAACGAACGGAACTAGATTTCTAAATCTACAAGTCTACAAGTCTACAAGATCTAAAAAAAGTCTAATAATATTATATGTCAGCTCTCTCATTCATACCTACTGAATATTATTAGTGTCTGAGATCAATGTCACCCTGTTGGCAGAGGAAGAAAATGGGCTCACACCTCGCAAATACACCGAGGAACCTTGCCCTTACGCTAGCAATGACTGTAACTGGTAATGATTGGACTGCATTCTCATCATCCACCGACGAAACCGAAACTAATTTTTGTGAAGTAATACTAGCCAGGTGTTCTTCTGTTGTAGGTCATTAAATCGAACGTGTCTGCTTCGGCTTTCTTTTACTTAAAACTTCAAAGATTCAAACCAATGTAATTTTAAAATTAATGAGGTAAAATCTAATTGTTTTCCAAGATAGGCATAGTGTTTTCTGAAAAGTTGGAATACTGTAAAGTTGATAATCTTTGGTAGAATAGGGTTCTGATAATAATAATAATTTTAGATCAAAGTCAATCCAGCCTGGCATTATGTCAGACCTTCTTGAACGTTATTGTACGGACTTCGGCGTTTTCAGCATTTTACATTTCATATTCATTAATATTGGAAAAACGGTTGGTGCGTTGATGTACACTATAGGAGATAACTCTATGGGCTGGTGACAACTCACGGTGCTCTACTATTGGGTAAGCGATGATCATTTGTTGTCTTGTAACACATTCTGCTAGCTTTAGGGGTAAATTTTGCTGGTGCCAGAAGAATCAAACAAGACATGGAAACGGTATTTGTAAAAAAAAAAAAAAAAAAAAAGAAAGAAATCACAATGATAATCATTTTGACGACAACTGCAGCAGCAACGACAACGACGACAACAGTAACAAGAGAAACAACAATGACAACAACAATGGCAGCAGCAGTTGCAGCAACAAAACCAACAAATACAACAACAGCAACAGAAATAATAACGACAACAACAACAACAACAACAACAACAACAACAACAACAACAGCAGCAACAATAACAACAATAACATAAATAATAATGACAACAACAACAGCACCAGTTTCAGATTTCATTTGACCAAATGATCTTTAGAGACCACAGCTGGGACTATAGAAGTTATCAATTAGATATCTATTAATTTCATTCTCTTTTCTGCAGAAAAGTAATGCAATTTTGTTCCCGCTTCCGATCCGGACATTGGGGATTGCCTTGTTAGTGAGACAACATCCTGTGTCTTCGGCATTAATTGTGGTGGGGTGGCCAGTTCTTTTCCACGCCGCCTTTACTTCCCCAAGTCCCCAACCCGAAGTCAGGTACCCATTAGGCTACTGCTGTGTGCAGGGGGTGAAAAAAAAAATCCGTTTCCGATCGGAGGCTCGAACCCGGGTTTTCCACTTCAGAGAGGAGCGCACTAACCGATCCGTCACTTTTCTGCAGTAGCTAAGTCAAAATTGCAAAAAGGCAGGAAATATTTTACGTTGGACACCTTTATAAAATATTATTATAGCGTACTGAACGTCAGTAATTTCTAAAAAGGAAACCATTTTTTAAAAGTCACCTAAAAAGCCAAATATGTAATTCTGATCGTCACGACCTTTGAAGACACAGGTGGGACATTTTCTTCTCCAAACTTTTCTCCTTTCACACTCTTTCCTGCTCACTAACAACATTCTGTCGTCTGCTTTTGTCTCCACTTTCTGTCCCCACTCCCTCACCTCCTTTGTCCCATCTCCTGGGCTCCTGACTCTTAAATAAAATTTCTGCAGCCTTTCTATTGGTAGACCTAATCCTTGGTTCCTTCTTACTGCTGTCTTTCAGCCACACTCCTGATCTGATGGTAGGTAAGATCTAACACCTAGCCTTGTCGGATAAGGGTGAAAAATCTCGGATGTCCCGTGTGCAAGTTGCGCACCTTAAGGATCCATTTGGTGGTCCAAAATCGATAACAATAGGCTTCGGCCCCCACCCGAGCAAAATTCAAAATTTCCTACAAACTGAAAATATTTTAGTTTTAATAAGAGTTTTACGACCCTTGCAAAACAATAAAGTCGTATAAGTGCCGAAGATTAGAGGTGTTACAAGAGAGTAACAAACATACAAATGAAGGAGGAGAGATCAGGACGATAGATGTTTGATAGGAAGGCAGGGCAGACCACACCAGAGCATCCGCCAACTACCCACTGAAAATGTTTAATGTGTCCCTGGCACTCATATGACCTTATGCAGTTGTGAGCGCTGTAAAAAAAAAAAAAGACTGCGAACAAAGTGTTACGTTTTTAATGACTTCCGTATAATATATTATAAAAAGGATTGTAAAATGTAGGTTTGCTCCATCACTAAAATTTATTATTGAGTGGCATCTCCCCCCCCCCCCCCCCCCTCTCTCTCTCCCCCCCCCCTCCTTCCCTCACTCTCTGTCTGTGTGTGTGTCACTCTCTGTCTGTCTGTCTGTCTGTCTGTCTGTCTGTCTGTCTGTCTGTCTGTCTGTCTGTCTGTCTTCCTTCACTGTTACCATCCTGTTGTACCACTGTAACTACGCGGGGCATCGTGTACCTGTTTCTACCTCTCACCTATCTGTACAACATTTCTCATTTGCATCCTTGCAACCACGTATGTGGCCTACTGCTAATATCGATCGACATAGCGCTGACACTAATAATATGTAAATAAGTACCGCCGATACGCTATGGTTCTTCACAACTTTTTTTTACCCCGTTCACAAGTGCTGTTAGCGGCAAAGAGGACATAAACAATAGTTCAATACAGGATACCAGGCCTCCAGCCTCCACCCATCCCGTCTGATCAGTTATCTCTGCAAAGCTTGCAACAATTTTCCTGCGTTCGTTGAAACTTTGTTAACAGAAATGTAAAATTACGGTTATATCATCAGTGATATGTATAAATAAATCCTCCCAGCTTCAGAGAATCACCAGAGAGGAACAACACATACACTTGTGAGTATGGTATTTTCACTCTCTAAGTTAGAAAGTGTTCAACTTTAATACAACAGTAAGAAAATGAGTTTTGCGTGCGCTTAAGGCTTAAGGTAAGATAAAGATGAAGGTGGAAGAAACTCAAGTATTGATCAAGTTTTCGCAGTATACGACGTTTTAAGGTTAAAAAAACAAAACGAAGCAAAACAAAAAAAGGGTGTAGGGGTGGAGGTGGAGGAGAAGTAAGTGGTGAAAGATATTATTTATTATTTCAATTTTCTAATAATATTATCAATTGTTCATTTTTGATGGTTGTCTAAAGTGTTAGTTGAGCATTTTATATCAGAGATAGACCATCTCGCTATGTATTCTTCCCTTTATACGTGTGCCCCAGTCTGTATGTCTGTCTGTCTGTCTGTCTGTCTGTCTGTCTGTCTGTCTGTCTGTCTGTCTGTCTGTCTGTCTGTCTGTCTGTCTGTGAACCT